TAGACTTGAAACATTTCCATTATACGCTATCTATACAGTTTGATGTTGTATGTTTCATCCGTAAAGCGCTGCCAGTCGGTACTCCTCTCTCTCATGCAGCATGCAGTCTTACAAGCAGTCGAAAAACTGACCCTTTTGCTTGAATTTAAGAAAAAAAGAAAAGACAAAAACAAAAATTACATTTAGTGAGCTGTGAATAACTTATAGTAATGATTTTTTTCCCTTAAACAGAAATCAAAGTTCTTGTTTAATGTTTTTTTTTCAGATCTCATTACATTAAAAAGCCAGACTGTTGGTCAGTAAGTCCAATGATGATTTGTTGGCTGAAATGCATTATGACAATATTCCACTTCAGTTCATCTGTGTGGAATAATACATTTAAAACTATCCCGTTATCTTTAGGGGGGAGCAGTTAAAAGAAGACACAATAGGCACTATTCTTAATACATCTGCCATGCTGTTTGCAATGTTAGTGCAAAAGCCCAAGAGGCACCAATCAAACACTAGGAGTAAGGCAGAAGCACAAACTGCTGCTTTCTCCTACTGCTGCACTTCAAATGGGCATCACATTAATCCTTCCAGACTTCAAATATTGTTTAATAACAGAAACTGGGAAAAGCAACAGTAACTTTAGTGTGATTTGAGCTGCATTGAACTTCCCTGTGTGGGAACAGAGTGAATAGACAAGAAGCAAACAGATGTTAAAAACCGACACTGGCTGACATCAAGGAGTAAGTTGGTGAATGTAACTTAAAAGATAGATTTTTTGGCCCACATGTGGAGCTATCAATGATTGGATACAGGTGATTCAGATGAATCGGACAGCTCTTAACCCTTGTATTGTCTTCACTTTTGGGACCCTCTGGTATCCCTCGGGTCAAATTGACCCGTGACATATATGGGGCTTTAAAAACCATTGTGAAATAAAATTTTACTTGATAATCTATTTAAAAATATTGTCTTTATCTACATTTCAAACAATTGAGATAACATATATGTTTAGGGAATGCAATCAGTCTCTCCTGGAACACAATTAACAATGGAAGTGTTATTCGTTTTTTTGTCATAAGGTTATAATTCATGTTAAAAATCCACTATGTGATCATGCTTATCTTGGAAAAGATTAAGTGGGACAATGTTTTCATTAACATTTATTACTTTGAATGCAAACTCTCAATACATAAACTGGAACTTCAACAATCAATAACTTTTATCTTATGAAATACTTGCAACAGGGTTGATGCTTTTGAAAAATGACAGGCATGCCTGTTTACAAAACACATGCATCACAAAATTTGACAGTATGTGTACCACAGATGTACTTTTTGCAGTTTCTGCATGTGGTTTGTGTCTTTGTGTCATTTGATGGTCCACACACCTCGCAGCGCTTCTTCTTGACACCGGCTGCAACCTAGAGCGTGTGCGTGCGTGTGCGTGCGCATACAAGCATGCGTGTGTGTGTGTTTGTGACTGTGTGTGTCTGTCGGCATGTTTCTGTTTGTCTGTGTGTCTTGTGGGCATGTTTTTGTGTGTCTCTGTGTATGCGGGTCAATCTGACCCGAAGACCATACGAAGGATGTAAATGTGTGGGGTATAGTAGCATGTGTGCTCAAATATTTTTTTTTGTTTATACATGTTCATCACAGAAAATAAGGTAAGGCCATTGAGTTTCAGGTAGAAAAAATGTATACTTGTACCATTTTTCTTATTGTAAAAATCGGAAACGGGTCAATTTGACCCGAAGACCATACAAGGGTTAAGCTCTTTAAGCTCTGCAGAAGGCTGCTTCAGACCCCTTCATTTGGTCAGGTGAGCTGGAACAGGAAAACTTGAGAACCAGGATTGAGAAACAGTTGTGCAGTCAACCAATGAATTTACAAACTCATACCTGTAGGCAATTAAGAATAATATATTTACCGGACATGCATAGTTTCCGATTGTAGGAGGAAACAGAGATGTGATCTCTACTGAGAAAAACCCGGGTGTAACATTCAAAAGCCAAAGACGCCTGCTGGCATTCCAAGCATGCGACGTGAGGTGACTGCTCACACTGCAAAGCTCGCTTATCCCACGTGTTACATAATGGTTCAATTAGCACTGAATGTATAAGTAAGTGTTTAGCATGTATAAAAAATGTGTAGATTATGCTTTACTGAAATGCAGATAGTGGCCAGTCTTAAACAATGGAATTAAACTTTTTTTAGACCTGTTGAAGTTTGGGCATATCAACACATAATTACAGAAATAAATCTGATAAAATGTACATTCTTAAGCCTGACGGTTTAAAATTATTGCCATTCCCTCATATTTTTCTAATTTATTCTGCCCTAACTGTATTTACTTACTCATCATAACACTCAGCATCCCTTACACCATCATAAACCATGTAAACCTCCCAGTCGATGTGCCGTACCCCTTTTA